ACCACATCCTAGGTACTGAGGCAGGCCAGAGATCTGTGGAAGAAGAAGAGAGAAGAGATACACACACACACACACACACACACACACACACACACACACACACACAAAGGAAATGAAGTGAGACATGTGGTCAGTACAAGGTTAGAGACTTTCCTAGCAGTAAAAGTAGGGCACCTAACCCAGTCACAAGGACATGATGATGGGGCCAAGTTGTGAAAATAAGTAAAAACCGACCAGGAGAATATCAGGGAGCAAAAACATCCTGGACTGACTGACCACTGTGCTCTCATGAAAGACCAAACGCTGGATCATAATTAGCCACTGACTGCCTTACTGATAGCTTGTGGGCTGTAAGATTTATCTACCCAATGAGCTACAGTCTTAGAGTCCTCAGTCTGTCAAAGGCAAAGAGTATTTCTAAAGATTATACCATGTTCTCCTATAGTTTCCATTTCTCCTGCTCGTCACTTCCCATAAACTAGACTAGAGGACAGCAAACTATAGCTCAGGACTCCAAAACCAGCCCACCTCCTGTTTTTGTTAATAAAGTTTTATTGGCATGCAGTCATGCTCAATATTTTTCTTACTGTTTATGGCTTTTTTGATACTAAAAGGCAGAGTTGGGTGGTTACAACAGAAACTATATGGGCCACAAAGCTTAAAATATTTAATCTATCTTTTACAGAAAAAGTTTCCCAGTCCTCAAATTAGACTACAGCAGCCATACTCCCAGCTGTCATCACTCTTGGTTATTTGAACTCAGGAAAATATGGTCCCTTAAAAGAAAGTTGTAACATTCCAGAAGTGAGAGCAGGGTAACAAAGGCAAGGACTGGAACTGGATGGGAAAGATTGCAGAAGAAGGACCTGATAGGACAAATCTCCTGGTAGATAAAAGACATCCTCTTTGTCCAGAGATTTAGGACTGGTATCGGAGGAATTTATGAAGACGCTGCTGCTTGTCAGAAGATTGGTATTCTCTTTCACATCAGATTGTTTCACTGCCTCGAAAAAAAATGAGCAGCAGAAAGTTCTTTTTATAAAGCATAATCATACAAGAGGAAGGCTAGCTCTCAGGTTTTCCAGCTGGGAGGGAACATACAATTTAAATCAGAGCCGATGGCCCTCTGTGGGGCTGGAACAACCTGAAGTGGAGATCATAATCCACATCCCACACAGCCTCTGGACCTGTCTCTGGCAGCCTTGTGATTAATGCGTAAACCAGAAAGACGTTTCATTGACTGCCTTAGAGTCCCATGAGCACAGTGCAGTCAATAAATATTTATTGAATGTATTTCTAGGGTTTGCAGCACTTGCTCAGTGATTTCTTATAATCAAATAAGCAAGAATTGTTGAGGATGACTCGAAATAAATATATAAAAATGTTGTTAATGGAATCTAAGCTAGGAATGGGAAGTAGGACAAAAAAATTATTCACCCATCTGCGTACAAGTTACCCAAATGGTACTAGCTTTGGGGTAAATAAGAAAGAAGCATGTTAAACGAGTCCCAGAAGTGAGAATTGCTAGAGAGAGAGAAGGAAGAAAGGAAGGAGAAAGGGAGGGTAGAAAGAAGAATGAAAGAAGGGGAGGAAAGGAAGGAGGGAGCAAAGGAAGGTGGAAAGAAGATTTACAAATAGCTCTGTTTTGAACAAATGAAAATATATACATTTTTTAAAGCCAATCTTTTTTATTCTCTCTGGCATTATACGGGTAATACTTTCATCTGTCACTAAAATGGCTCCTACACCCAAGGAATGGCAGAGAGTTAAGCGAAATGGGTCTCCAAATTGCAGTTTTTGCAATAAAGATAAAAGATGGCTTTCTGCCACCTATTTGGAGTTACAGCGTCAATATGCTGATGCAGTTCCCTAGTTGCATTAGACTCTGGGTGGTGTATTGCCAATATGGGCATGGGGATTGGTGTTAGGATTTGTTTATTTAAGATGGAGCATTTATTCTGAGTTAGAAACAAATTAAAAACTTGCTTTTGAGATGATATTAAAAGAAGGCAATGTAATTACCACGTTCTCCCCTGAGTGTCCTCCTCAGACTTCTGCAAAGCCTGAAAAAACACAGTGCCAGAGAGGTAGGAGCCTGTGCAGTGCTGGAGGTGAGATAAGGCATCTTCATGTCTGCATGTCCAGCTTTGAAGGAGGAAAATATTTTGCCTGTGGGAAAAACATCCAATAAGCAATCCTACAACTTTCATGCCAACACTCAAAGAGATTCTGGCCACGACCATCCATCCCATCCTTCACTGACCTGGAAAGAAAGCAAAAATAATGGTCACACAGGCCTCCATTGGTTCTCATGCTGGGTCACAACTCCTCACCTCATGAATGAAGAGGACACCAAGGCTCCATCACGTTCAGGCATCAAGGGAGACACAAATCCAGGAGGAGAATCAGGAGTTCTTAGGGCTCTTTTGAGGGGACCACTCTAGATAGGAAAGGCCATCTAGTCCATGGTGTACTGGGCCTTCCTTGGCAGCAGCCATGGCCCTTTGGGGTAAGCTAAAGATGACAGACAGTGCCTGATCTTTGCAGCATCTTGAGAGTTGTATTTGCCCTTTTGACACATTTATGACAGCATTTGAGTGATAGGCTTTATAGTCATCAACTTAAACAGGGAAACTTACCCAAAGATGTGTAGATTACTAATCAACTCTGCCATCACATCTTTTCCAAGTTTCTTCCTAATTCCCCTCCTTCCTGATTTGAAGATCAGCTACTCACTTTCCAAAAGAGGCAGAAGGAAGAGTTTCTGTTGTTTCCTTCCTGGGAATGTCATGACTTCTGGTTGTATTTATAAAGGCTGACGGGAAGCATCTCCCTAGTGGCCAGACTCCATACACTGAACTCCTTCAGTATCCTTGCTCTTACAGACCAGAGTAGGAAAGCCAAGGCCACTAACACAAAAATGCAGAAAAGGGTGTTCTAAAGTTTAGGATGGTAACAGTACGCTCAGGGAGGCCTTTATGAAAACATCCTAATCCTAACACAACAATGGGAGAAGGTTCCAAACGCTCCCCAAATTCAGCCAGCACACCTCTTTAAACCCCTTCAATAGGACCACCTGCCATTCCAAGACTTGGTCTGCCTCTGCAACTTCCCTAAGGCGCTAAGGTATTGATCTGATTACCACGTGAGGTCACCTATTCTACTGTTGTGCTTTGTGGCTGCTTATTGATGTGCCTTTTCTCCCCAGAGAAATTAGAAGCTAATAGCCCAGAAGGAAATGCTGTGCCCTACATGCAGCAGGTGCCTAGTGGGAATTTGTTGAGCGCATACTGAATAAAATTGCTTTACTTATAAACCCGGCCCCCGTTCTGGTCCAGAAGTCCTAGGAGTCTAAAAAATACAGTAAAAGAATGATGTGGAGTTATGTGGAGCCAACTGACAGCTGTGTTGCTATTTTTCTGCACATTTCTGAAGTCTCCATTTCACTTTGTTCCATGGAAGTCAGAAATACCTGCATGTCAGAGAATCAGATGTATGATTCTGAGGTTTTGTCAGATAATATTTAAACCCCAAAGGCTGTATAAGGCATCATTTCCACTCTTTAAAAAACACATAGTTTAAAGGACAGATTTATAAACTTTGTAAGAAAAATATACATAGGGAAATATGCCTTTTAAAATGAAGGAGACAGAATTGATGTGTTTGTAACTGATATGAAATGCTGATTGGAATATTTATTGTCCTTCAAATCTCTGACATCTCAGAGGCTGTGCATAAATTCATATGTATGGACACACGCATTCAGATGACACTGCTTGGTGTCAGATTCCAGGCAGGAGGGGATGGAGGAATGGCTCCAGGTTTTAAGTTGTCATTCCCTATGTTCCTTCCTTCCTGCAAGTCCACCCTGGTCCTCTGTGTGCTCTAAAGTATCTGCCTCGGCAGGTGGAAACAAGTCTCTTTCCTCAAGAAACATGTATAGTGAGTCTTACACTGACTCCTACGTGCTCAAAGAGTGGATAAAGATTACTCCAGGAGCTGTTGCTTTTCACTGGCACTGGGTCAGCACTTTCTTACATGACACATTCATTTCCCCTTAAATTGTAGTGACCCATGTAGGACTGTTAACTTTTTACAATATCACGCAAAGACGTTCTATCATCTTTATCCCTTAACCCATTAAGGATAAAGGACAGTCTTTCTTTATTTTTTATTTTTATTTTATTTTAGAATTGTGGGTATATGTGAGGGTTTACTACATAAGTAAATTGCATACAGGTGAAGTTTTGGCTTCTGTTGAACCTTCTAGAGCCCAGATAGTGGACATGGTACCCAGTGTGTGGTTGTGTGCCCCTTATCTCTCCTCCCTCCCTCTTCTAGCAGTGTAAAGGACAGTCTTCGTACTGAATAAATTTACAACATTGTCCTTATTTTTCTAATTTTACCATGAGCCTCTGACCTGTGGCCATGATGTCCCCAGCGTGAGCACTTCATGATGAAAATGTCTCACCGAGCTCGGTGGCTCAGCCTGTAATCCCATGCCTTTGGGAGGCTGAGGTGAGTGGATTGCCTGAGCTCATGGGTTCAAGACCTGCCTGGGCAACTTGGTGAGACCTCATCTCTACAATAAATCAAAAATGAGCCAAGCGTGGCAGTGCACGCCTATAGTTCCAGCTACTTGGAAGGCTGAGGCAGAAGGATCGCCGGGGCCCAGCAGGTCGAGGCTGCGGTGGCCGGGAGCGGCCATTGCACTCCAGTTTGGGCAACAGAGTGAGACTCCGACTCAAAAAAAAAAAAAAATTCCTAAATGGCATCTGAAATACTTAAAAATCTGGCTGACTTTTCTTATGAATGTTAGCATTGTATGTCATGTCATCAAGCTGAGGGATAGAATTATGGAATAGGAATTAGAAAATAGTTGTAAAACACACCAGGAATCAAAGGATTTCCAGAAATGTTTTTATTGGCAGGAAAAACATAATCACTGATGCAGATTTTGATGACCAAGTCAGAACTTTGTCCTTTCTTCTGTGTTTCAGGTACATGGCCATCATTCATCCCCTCCAGCCCCGGCTGTCCGCCACGGCCACCAAAGTGGTCATCTGTGTCATCTGGGTCCTGGCTCTCCTGCTTGCCTTCCCCCAGGGTTACTACTCAACCACAGAGACCATGCCCAGCAGAGTCGTGTGCTTGATCAAATGGCCGGAGCATCCCAACAAGATTTATGAGAAAGTGTGAGTAGTGATGATCCCCTGCTCTGAAGCTACTATGGTGCAGGTTACCTCCCTTGCCCCTTGTTCTTCCTTTTTTCTTTCCTTATTATTTTGTTGGTTAGGATTTCATGTGTACCTGTAAGCATTGACCACATCCACTCTGATATCAGGTTATGTCTGTAAGCATCAGGGTACTTATAAGTATCCCAAAGACTATTCTGTACATTGAATGAACATTTTTTTAATATGTAAAATCTAGATCCTGTTGTAGCTGACCCTTTGGGTGCACTGCATCCCCTGGTCCTCTCTCCAGAGACATCTCCCTGCTAGGATATGCATTTATTTGCCTAAGAATGTTTCCTTAAGCTACAGAGTGCCACTCTGCCCTCTTGCACAAAATGCTGGAAGGTGGGGACTTACCTCCCCTTTCCAGCAGTTCTCAACAATGACTGATGGGAACTGGCATTTCAACACTTATTCCCTCACCCCTCTCTGAGATTTGTGTCATACACCGTGTCCACGGTTTCCTATGGGATTAAGCTCCAGTCACCCCAGAGATAGCTGGCTTGATAACGTACCCTTTCTTGGCCACCGTGCCATCCTGCACTGCTGCCTCCCTCCCTACTGGTGTTTCTTTCTTCTCCAAAAATAAGGTACTTGCACTTGAACATCTTGAATAAAGTTCTCAGGATCTGCCTCTGGGAAAGACCAAACCAAAACACCTACTTCCAAGATTTCACAGTTGGAAAAATAAGACATGCACAAGTGAAATGCATGGGAGTGCAAGGCCAATGCACTGAGACCTTATGAGTTACAGACCCCTTGTAGAGAAGACCTGTTTACTTTTCAGGGGTTTGGTTGATCACAAAGTATCCTGGCAATTTTCTCCAGAGACTTATTCTAGAGGCAGGTGACATTCTTTGTTTTGTTCTGCTCAAGTGAGCAACAATATGATGTTTATATTTACATTAGTTTTCTGGACTCAGAGTACATGGATCACATGAATCCTGCTGAAAGCCCTCTATAATTCTCCTATCTTGGGTTTTTAAATGTGAATTGTAAAGGAACACTAGTGTTAGAATGAGAAGACCTGGATTTTAATTACAAGATCGCCAGTTACTATGTGACGCAGGGCAAGGACCACAGCCTCTACTCATTACTAAAATGAATGATAATAAAACACTGTTTCTTATAAAGAATTATTTTGAAGATCAAATGAGATCGTGTGTTCTCGCCTTGTAAGCTATTAGAATGTCACAGAAAAGGTATGAACCAAATTCATCTGATACCAGTATAATTATGATGTCTTTAAACGTATTAAAATGTTAAAATGAGACACCATGCTGGTCATTCCCCCAAGATTTGAGGGCGTGGAAACCTGTTGCACACAGCTATACTGCTGTATCTGTTCCATGGAGCATGAAAATGCAGCTTGCCAGAAAGCAATACATAAAGCTCAGACATCGCCTTCCAGACACAGTCAGTGGGATTTAATCGATCAAGCAGTAGGGGGATTAATGCTCAGCCTAGAAGGAGACATTGAAAATTATTCTTTCAAATGAAACTACAAGCTCGAGCAAGGTCTCAGCAGGAGAAAGAACACAGCTTTACAAGCTGTACAGGACCTATGAACATGTTCAAACCAGAAGGTTTTCTCAAAGGGGAAAAAAGAGAAACCCACCCCTGAATTAGAGCTTGTTATATAAACTGTTTGAGAACCCTCCATCAACTATGTGGGCTGTAGCTCTGCACTTAGTTCTCATGATTTTTTCAAAGTCTCATCAGCTTTCTACAATTTTTGTTTACAAGTACTCACAGTCCTTTTATCTTACCACAAATTTATAGTTTAACTTGGACATGAAGATTTATTTTCCTACATGTATCTGGGGTCTTTTGCAAGAAACAGCAATGTTTTTTAGGGTCTTACTTTAAAACATTTTGGTGTTTTATACTTGTTAATGACTAGAAAATCCCTTTAAGGCTCAACACAATGTGTTGACTTGTCTTGTTTCCTTGATTTGAGAAGTTAGGGTAGCTGCTACTGGACGCACGGTTAGGTTTGCCATCATTGTTTATTTCATTATTTTAATCTAAAAATGAGTCTGGCTTAAGAGCAGATGCTTTTATCTATTCAAGATGTGTGTTTATTGACACAATCTAAAGAGTCTATATTTGCCATTCGCATATTGACTGTGATGAAAACATAAGTCAATTTCATAGAAAAGCTTTATTCAAACCTATTTACTTTTTGCCCATATCCTTCATAACGTTTTATAATATATCTTTAGGGAATTTAAATTTTGCTATGCCTAGGTTAAATACTTAATTATATTCTCTTCTTTTTGAACTAATGATTGTCATTTCCACAGTACACAATAATCCCAAATTTGAAACCAGATGGAAACTTTGTTTTGAGGCAGTGTAATCATTAGGATACGAGTGTGTGCTCTGGAGTTAAATGAGGGATCAACTCCCAGCTCCGTCACTCTCCAGTTGAGTCATAATAGTCAAGTAATTTAAGGCTCTATGCCTTAATAGTACAGGCAGTCCCTGGCTTACAATGGTTTGACTTAAGGATTTTTTTGACTTTACAATGATGAGAAAGTGATACACATTCAGTAGAAATCTCACTTTGAGTACCCATACAATCATTCTGTCTTTCACTTTAGGACAGTATTCAATAAATTACATGGGACATTCAGTACTTTATCATATAATAGGCTTTGTGTTCGATGATTTTGCTCAACAATAGGCTAATGTAAGTATTCTAAGCACATTTAAGGTAGGCTAGGCTAAACTAGGATGTTTGGTAGGTATTAAAAACACATTTTAAACTTTTGATATTTTCAACCCACAACGGGTTTATCAGGCTGTAACCTCATCATAAGTCAAAGAGCATCTGAATATTCCACATAAAGGTATTGAGAGAAGTAAGCAAAATAGCCTACACAAATTGTTCAGCCTAGTACCCAGCACATGGTAGGGGTCTGGTGAGTGTTAATTACCAATGTCAGTATCATGCATTTATTATTCTGGGTTCACTGGCAGATGACTGGAAGCGGACAGTGTGATGGGCAGATGCTTAGGCCCAATATGTCTTACGGATAGCTTGTGCCAGGTATTACGTAGAACACATTGTAAAAAAATCTCTGATCACTACATATGCCTTCTGGCTGCTTGATGAAGCTTTAGCCCTGATCATGCATCATTAAGATCTTTTATTAATACATGGATTCAAAGCATTATTAAAGACAGGCAATCCAATAAAAGAATGGACAAAAGTTTTGAACATGGGTTTCATCAAAAAAAGTCAAAATTACCAATAAATATATGAGGAGGCATGTGACTTCATTTGTCACCAGTGAAATGCAAATTAAAACCATAATGACACATTCCTATACAACGATCAGACTAACAAATGTTAAGAAATCTGACAAAACTAAATGTTTTGAACTTTGGGTGAAGATATGGAGCAATAAGAACTTTTGTCAACTTCAGGAATAAATATAAATTGATAACCACTTTGGAAAGTACCTTTTTAGTATCTAGAAAAGAAACTATGCATTTCACTTGCAAGTAATTACCCTTTTAAAAACTCAAGCAAATATGCACACAAATATACCAAATAATGTTCACATCAACATTGCTCTTAATGCCCCAAACTGGAGATATTTCAAATGTTCATCATCAGTAGAATGGATAAAAAATTATAGTGTCTTATATGCATACATGTCAACACAAATATAATTTGTTTCCTTCTTTGCAGCAAAAACATAGTCTTTTGTACACACTGTTCTGCACTTTGTTTTCTAAACTTAGTATGTCTTGGAGATAATTCCAAATCAGTTCATAAAGAGCCTCTCTATTCTTTTTTCAGTATTCCATTTTTTGAATGTATAATATTATTTTATCAATTATTTGTGGGTGGGCTTTAGATCTTTTGCTATTACAGAGTGCTGCCATGGATAACATTTACATATATCATTCAAGGATGTCTGTAGCATAGAATCTCAAAAATGGACTATGACATTTTAATTTTGATATTTGCCCTCCATAAGAAGTTGTGCTTATTTACATTCCCACCTGCAATGTGTGAGAGACCCTGTTTCTTTGTGGCCTCATCAACGAAGTATGCCATCAAGCTTTAGATTTTTACCGAGCTTGGGGGGGAGGGAATGGCATCTCACAGTTAAAATGCTTATTTCTCTTAAGAGTGGGATTGAACATCTTTGCATAATTGAATAGCCATTTGTACATGTACTTTATAATCCATTTACTTCATTTACCATATCATAAACAATTTCCAATGCTATTAAAATTTTTCTACAACACGGTGTGAACATGCACACACATGTTGTTAACAAACCTCCTCTTTAGAAAATTAATTATTCCAATGGTTTCTCTTAACTAACTAGTAAGACAAAACACCAAACTTCAAAGCAGGTTGTTTCCAGCTCCATTTCTAAATCCCTGGAGGACTCTGGTTCATTTTTATCTGCATTCCCTATTTGTGTTTACAATCCACGGTTATATAAAATTAGGCTAATGTTATAACATTCAAGAAAATGGGGACTTGGACTCATCATTGATACAATAGTATCAAAATTTGTAATTAAATCCTACAATAATTAACAACTAGCCATCTTAGCATGGCTGCTCTGGTGAAACTGTGACAATACCCAGGAAATTCTAGAAAGGTGGAGTTGATTGACAGGTGGTGAAGAATTCATGTGGGACCAAAGTGACTCTTCCTGGTGGAAAGGAAAACACAGAGAAAGGTGAAAGTATAAAGAAGAAAAATTTGGCACTGCAAAATGTATTCCCCACCTTTATGGAATGCTTACCTGGCAAGGAAGGTACCATGATCATGAAGGTGATTTTCCCAAGGTAAGGCTTATCCATTGCACTCCAGATGTGCTGACCCCTGTGATTTCCCCAAATATGGGAAATCACTCCAAAATTTGTGCCTCCTGGGGAAAGAAAAAAGAACTGTAAGGAGTGGGCAGTAGCTTTCAAAGTTA